TAAAATTTTTATATTATATAGATTAATATCTATTCTTTATAATAGTAAAATTTTTAATAAATCAAATATTTAAAAAATATATATTGTAAGTTTTCCGTAGTCAGTTTGAATTCTCCTGGGTTATACAAAATCGTTGATTTTAATTGGCTTATGTCATATGATCATCATATGATTTTTATAAACAATTTATAATACTAAATGTTTAAATACATGTATCTCAATGAATATCTAACCAATTTTAATAATTTTACTACTGTTAGAATTAGAAAAACCTGTTCTACATTTTTATTAGAAATTTAATATCAGTTTACTTAATAAAATTTTCTTTAAATTTAAAAAGAAAAAAAGTTGCCATTAGTTTTATATATAATTTGCAAATGGCATCCTCTACTCTTAACAGTGTAGTTTATGACTTTTTAATACATGTAAAAAAAAAAATATTCATTACTATTAGCATTAATAAAGCGAACAGTATTATAAGTCACACGAAATTGGGTACGTATAAGGGGTTGTGTTACTTTCTTGCAGAATTAATTCTCACGGTCGATTTTTTTATTAACGAATATTACGAATAACAGATAATATCTAAACCCTTTTCCTTACCTTATATAAGATCCCGCGATAAGAATGGGACTTAAAAAGGCCATAAGGGTAATGAGTATAATGTTCTTTATCAGTAGTTTGGTCCAGATTCATATGTTGCAGGAACTTGAAATCTCCGCCATCTCCGAGATCTAGCCCACTCTGAGCGATCGGCAAAATCTAAAGGGATCAAATTTCAACTAAAAAAAATGGCAAAATAGATTCAGCATTTGGGACTTACGACCGAATAGACTTGCTTTACATTGTGGGATCTAGTCTGTGTTAGGGTAACGTAATTACTAATCATGTAACTTTTTTTTTCTGGTAGGTTTTTAGATCTAACGAATGGATGGTATAAAAAGAAGTGAGTTTTCACCGTAAGATAAGGTAGCAATAACGTTATTTTTTGCTCATATATATTTTTACTTGGTTCACTTGCCCGTGTTTTTTTAAGTAAATTGCTATTTCATTTAACGGAGACTATGAAAAACGAATTTTTACTTACTTGGATTTTTTTTGTATTCAGGAACGAAAAATGAGCGCTAACGATGATACTACCCCCACGACTAATGATACCACTACCCCCATGACTAATAACACCACCACCCCAACACTAACTATCCTAATAACCCGACGCCATCTAAACCAAAATCTGTAAAAATTACTGAAACTTGTGAGAAAACTTTTTACTGTGTAATTATGTTTATGAAGCAATATTGTTTCGATTAAGTCTTTTTTTTTCTTTTAAAATTAGATAAACGCGAAGTAGAACAAGATGGAACAAAGATAACTGAAATTAAAATTTTGAAATCAAAATCTAATGACAGTTCATTGTTAGATTACATTAAACCCCAAAAAACGCTAGACAAAAAATAAATATAATTTTTTTTTATTTGTATACTGTTGCCAGAACAATTTTTTATAAAATAAAGAGGGTCCTGGCACGATGTGTCATTTTTAAAAATGCGAGTTTGATTTCAGAAAAATATTGACATGCGCCATGAGTTACCGATTGCACAAACACGAAACATTATTTAATTTTGTTTTTGTATTTCAGAGTTTTGCCACGGCTCTCTGCTAACATGTAAATACTGTATATAATACATCGCATTATCTTATTGTGATCTCAGTTAACGAACCCTAGAATTTAGGATCAAGATTATCGTTACTCAACATACTCAGAGGAAGTACAACAATCACACGTGTCTTTATTATTTTATGATTTTTATTAACTGTGGTTGAACGGTACTTTACTAATAGCACGGCTTATCCAGAATTTACTTGTCGTTATCGTTATAAACATAAAATTTCGGTTTTTAATAAAACTTGATACAAGTCATACAATTTGGCATGTAATTTGTAAGACATAAAAGATGCATAGATAATGGAATTTCCTTCTCGAGGTTGAAAAAGCAGAAATCGTCATTCATAAAAGGATACAAAGTCTCAAATTTTTCATTAATCATGTGTTTAAAATGTTCGACCTATTATCAAAGCATAGCCTAAAATCTAAATCGTTGGACGTGTTTAATATATATACTGCAATTTATATATTTTTTGCCTTGGAACAAAAAATAGTATTTCTGTAGAAGCATAAGAAGCGTAACTTTATTATATTTATATATTTTGCATTACATTGGCATGTCAATAATAGTTGTAATCTAGTTGTAATCACGTTCACGGGGTTTGATCATGTCATAGGCGCAGTAACGAGTAAAAAATTTTTTCACCGAGATTTACCGTATAAAGATATCTATTGTTATTCTAAAAAAAGTGGTTAGAAATTGTTACAAAAAAATAATAAAATTGAGCAATTAGGAGTAACCGACAGAATAAGTAGCTTCATTTATCCTCAGTTAAGCCAACGAGTCCGGAAGAAACTACACCCCTCCAAATATAGTAACACCATTTTTTCAGAATGTTTGTAATCACATGATCACAATTACGTTTCCATGCAAATGCCGATTTAATCTCACCCTTGGAAAAGCAATCAGCTCCCAGACTGACCACACCAACTAAGAGTCGACGCGACGTGCGAGAACTTATTCTTCCTGTTACACTGCCAACTGCATAAAGTCATCACACATACACACCTCTTATTTTCATTCTCCTTGATTCTTCATCTTCAAATTCTATAGATACAAAAACAGACAAAGCCATTATCGTATTATATAGTAATATGCATCTATCACGCAATAAAAAATTCCAAAAATTCAAAATTCAATACTTACAACATCAAACATTAAACTTGTAAATTGAATAAACTTATGGAGTTGAATTCTTCTTTCTTCTGCCCTTGCCATTTTCCAGAACTTTGTCATGTACTCATTTTCATCCATAGCTAATTTTAACATCTTTTTCTTGTCGTCCTTCTCGGTTTCTTCCAACTCTCCAAGAATGTCAAGTGTGAGATCTGTTATTTCCCCGAAATTCAAATCATCAGCCTTCTTTTTCCGTGGTGTATCAATATTCTCTATATTATCAAGTGTTTCATCCAACTTTCGTTTTTGAGATGGGTCAACATTCTCTTTATCACCAGGCGCTACGTCCAATTTTTTTTCTTGTGAAGCTTTATTAACCCATCTTTTAGTTATTTCTCTATCAACGTTTTCCTTTTTGGCAGATACATCTTCATAATTACCACCTAGTGTCAAATAAAAATTAGTTTGTGCCCCTCTGTAAAATCAAATTGTTGTTACATAGTCAACTTACCAAGACAAATGATAACTTCGCACGCTAATATTGTGACATGTTGAAGCGCATGATCGCTCCAGCGACCTTTTTCATTAATCACGATCCCATGTGCCAATTTATTTCTTACGTTCATTTTAAAATTAGTTAGCAATTCAACAGGGTTGGCTTTAAATCGGCCGTGGAATACAGATTTTTTTAAGAAAATGGTAATATTTTCTATTAAAAAATTTAGCATGCACAGAAGATCTGCATTATTGAAATCTGTGCTAACAGGAGGACGCTGTTTAGCCACGAATCTTTCGACAACCTCTAGAGGAATGACTGATTCATTTTTAACCAGAAACTCATAAATTGCTTTTTCTGCAAGATTAACAAAAGGCTCTATTACTGCCCCCTGTTCGTTTTCGGTAAAGGAAAAGTTTTGCTGTACTTCCGGAGAAGATTCACGAGTGGTTCTAGTACTGTGGTTGTTGACAGTTCCACAAGGTCCATACACTGTGGATGAATAAAGTCGCGTTTTTTTAAATATCGTAGTTCCTTTAGGCAATTTAGAGGAGGTAGAGGAGGTGGATAATTTTTCATCTTCAAACCAGCCAAATATCGTAGTATGGGCTTGAGACTTTTTACGAAAGTCCGGATCTTTATACAAGATATCATGGAGCGAGTCACGGAGTGATCTGCGGGAAATTTCCAGAGGACAGACGTTGTATAACGCATTTAAAGTGGCGCTGAAAGTATTCTTTATGTTCCTTTCGATTACACCGGAACGCAACCACTTGGAAAGCTTGCTTGGTTTAGCCATATCACGACGTTGGCTTATGCAAAAAAAAACAAAAGAAACGACGTGTAAAATTTGGGAATTTGTGTATTTATAAAAAAAAACCCCCGATTATCATGATTTCAATCACATGAATACAACAATTTCCGGTTTTGGTTAACTTCTATTGTTATTTGTAATAATCCACACGGCGACGAACACTACATATTTTCTGGAAACATCTTTGAATAATGAAAGTCTCAAAGCTTCGCTTCTTCCCCTAAAAAATTTTCACATTCACACCGCCTATATATCCCATCCACTACTTTTTTGCATGTCTTACAATATAAATGTGAATGATGATTGCATTCGTCACAAACCTCTATAGATATGCCACTTTTCGATATAATTTCGACTTTTTTGATTTGTAAGTATATTATTCATTGTTATATTAATAGAAAAAAA